TTTTTTGAAAAGTAAGAAATTTTGGAAGTTTTTGGAGGTTTTCAGTATTTTGCAATATTCTCCCCCAAAACAAAACATTTTTGAATTTTCAAGGTGATATTCGTGATCAGCATCAAATTCTACATCGAATGGTGTACCTTTTAGCGAAAAACAAAAAGTGCTCGAAATTTACTTTACGTGCACCTTACAGTTACAACAGAAAAAATATCATATTTCCAGCTGAAAATTCAGCTGATGTAAGTTGTTGATTTTCTTTTCTTATTTCATTGCCTGAATATATCCTTGTCTAGGACATGTCATCAGCTAACATGGTCGATTTCAATCTTCAACAAGGAAATGATATTGATATTGATATTGAAAGCCAAAAATCTTATTCTACACCAACCCATGTTGAGTTAATTCTAAATAATATCACACCATCACTACAACATCCGCTGATAACAAATGAGACCAATTATGTACATACAGAAGCTGTGCCAATATATACAATATAGTCAAAATTCAGAATTTGTTCAATTACCACCAATCACTGAGTTCCAAAAACCAACGATTTCACAAGAACAAAATCCAGGTAAAAACAAAACAAACAAACGTTATAATTACATATGTATAAATCATTAGCATTGCATATATGTCAAACTCGAAATTTGAATTCAAATAATCAAATATTGTTTTAAGTATTCAACTATTCAACTTTTCAAATATTCAATTATTGAACTTTTCAACTATTCGAATATTCAACTATTCATTTCAAATATTCAGTTATTCGCAATACTTGAGCGGACGAGGACAAAATCCAAAAGGGCAGCTGAGGGTGAGGGCAAAATCCTAGAAGGGTGAAAATGCCACGGGTTCTAACTGAATATTTGAAAACTTGAATAGTTGAATATTTAAAGGAATATTTAAACATTTGAATTCAAATTTCGAGCTTAACACTATTATAGCATTGTATAAAATTCTAGGAAAATCAATCAAAACAGTACTCGAACAACCAGCAATGCCAATTGAAGAATCGAATAATCAACAACAAATGTCAATTACATCAAATGAATTGACATATAACCAACTTATTAAATTGTCTCAAGCTCATATGTGCATGACATACGATTTACGTACAAATCATGAGGCATTAGATCATCAAGAAAATCTAGAACTAGATCGTACCAGTTCGTTGGACACTGATAATCAAAACATCGATCTTCTTGACGGTGGCGAAACAACACCGCAAGAAGCTATTCTTCATCAAAAAGAAAACAGTATTTCTAATGACAACAATACTTTAATTGATTTACATTTAAAATTTTTCAAAGACTATCTACAGGATAATAGTATCAATAATGACTCCCGCTGTCCAACAGCACATAAAAATACAGAAAACTTCTGAAAAAAAACGAAAAAAAAATTTTCAAGTATTAATTGCTATTAAAGAACATACAATGATAAAACGATATACGTTCATACACAATTGTATAACTATGTAAATAATCATGACTTTCATCTGAAACCTAAAAAAAATAAATTGCACATTCACAACTAACACTTCTACGAATCTCCGTCCGACAAATGTCCTTACCATAAACTACTCTCCAACAAAATACATATCAAAACATTATTCAACCTAAAGCACACTTGAGACTCACCCACAATCACTAAACCCTTTGACCCAAGAACAAAGGCTGCATCTTACTTGATATACCCATCTCCTTTTATTCTAACAATACAATCAGAAAAAACAAAAAAGCCTCCTCCTGTAGAGAAAACCTCACAATATATATACGTGAGAGAGAGAGAGAAAAGAATCTGAACACAATGAATGTA